CCGCTGTCGCCTCTGGCTTGCTTAGTTGGGGACACTTCATTTCCAGCGATATCGTTGACTTGATTGCAAATGATTGCAAAGATACTATTTAAACTGAACTGAGCTGGATGATGACATCTTTAGCTGGACATCTGACGTCTTTAACTGAAAAATTAGTGTTTACTATCGTCATTTTGCATTATTGACACATTATTTTCCTAATTAATGCTGTTCAGTTGCTTTGACACAATCTGTATTGTTAAAAGCGCTATATAAATAAAGGTGCCTGAGTAGGGAACAAGACACTGCGTCCTCTAGGTTTCTTGCCATGCTTCGGGCGCAAGCTTCAGACGAAGAAGTGGATGATGTATTCTCTGGCCAACGTGTTGTTGGTGTTTTTTCAATGTATGCTTCAGACACGGGTCACAACGAGGCGTTCCCCATAGCGACCCCTAGAGGACGCAGTGTCTCGTTCCCTACTCAGGGAACCATGGTTACATACGTAACCGGAGACGATTTCACTGTGGATGGGGCTAACAGCAAGACGCTGCAGAGGAGGAAAAACTAAATGAGCGACAAAGTCACACCTCTTTTTGCAGTGACAACAGCACTGGAAATAACATGAACAAAACCTGATGATTACATTCTCCAGCATGATATTAGATGCTCCAAAGAGCATCCTGAGCTTCAGTGGAAAAAAAATCTGGCCATTTATACAAAGACTCAAACTAATGACACTTCTTCACCTACATTTGATTAGTCACCTAAAGAAATATTTTTTACATCTACATAGCGTTTTCTGGTTTCTCAATCTTGAAAACTCAAAAACTTTAATTCATGGTTTAAATTATATATTTAATTTTACATTTTCCATGTGGACTCCTAAATCCCACAGTACGGGAGATTCTAGATCCAACCTTTAAAAAAATATATTAATATTTATAAATAAAATTATAAATATAAATAAAAATATATAAATAAAATATTAATAATAATAGCTCCACTTTATTTCATCTAACAGGATTTAGGGATTCAGCCACAGATGGAACTGATATACATGGATATTTTGGAAAAGGTGCCACAATTACATGTTCCTACAGCTGGGCTTCAACCAATATAAAGTATTTCTGCAGAGATCCATGTAATGACATTAAAGATATTTTAGTTCAATCTGACCAGTCACCTACAGGAAGATACACACTGAAGGATTCTGGAGAAGGAACCTTCACTGTGAACATCACTGATCTACAGGAGTCAGACTCTGGGATTTACTGGTGTGGAGTGGAGAGATTTGGTTTTGACTCATTTAAGAAAGTCATACTGACAGTTTCTAAAGGTAAGAATGGCAGACATTCTTTGCAGCATCTCTCTTTTTTCCCCAGTGTTAGTTTTTTATTATTATTATACCACACACAGATCCAAGCGAAAGCATCACTACATCCACACAACCGTACAAAGACATACAAACATCCATGGATTCACACACAATTACACCAGCAGCACATTCAGAATCGCCATCTGTCACAGCAAGCAAAACCACCGGATATTCAAGCCCTGATGACATCACACTCTCACCCTCAATAGCAGGTAACTAGCTTCTTATTTTATTTACTTTATTTTCATACACCTCATATGAATGTACACAGGAATGTAACCTCAAAACACAGGGACTACAGACCTAAGACACCCAACTCACAGGAGTATTTTAAACATACTTGTCCTATTTTAAGTACTATATATTTAGTACTATTTAAAAGTACTACCATTTTTTTCTTTCTTAAGTCAATGCACCTTTATTGAAGGGGAACTAATGTAGATCATGGCAATATCTGACTGACTGTACTTTCAGGGCCATTTAGACAAACTATCTACTCCTTTAATGATTCAAGAATCTCGTTCCCTCTCTTCCTCAGCGTCTGTGAACACTACAGTATATATGCTATATGCTGTCGGTGGTCTGCTCATAGCAGTAATCATATTTGCAGTTGGACTGGTCACTGTTCATCAGTACAGGGAAAAATTCAAGACATCAGCAAGTATGTGCACATGTATCAATCAATCCCTGTCTAATAATTATATTAAATAAAACCATTACTGCACTCTAAAAAATGGTGGGTTGTTTCAACCCAACATTGGAAATATGGACTAACCCAACCGTTGGGTTAAATTTTTTTATTACATTTTTAACCCAAAAGTTGGGTTAGTCCATATTTGACCCAAAGTTGGGTTGAAACAACCCAGCATTTTTTTAGAGTGTATGTTTCTCTTTGTTCTGGGCATTAATATTAATGCTTGTTGACAGGCTTCACGCTGCCCAATCAAAGTAAAGATGATCAGGTGAGTAATGCCAAAGACTGTGTACATCACACACTGACCTTGAAAAGGATCAAAAATGCCAAACTTCATATTATTTCGCAATGACCCAGCAGACATATTACAAGTGCACTTGTGTTGTGTTGATGCAGGATGACTGTATATATGAGAATGATTTTCCTAAGACAAACAGCACACAGATGAAACCTATCAACATGACTAGGACCAGACAAGTGCAAAAGAGCCAATATGCAGTCTACGAGAATCCACATGAACTCTATGGAAATCTCTGATCATAGTGTTAAGCAATGACATTCAGAGAACCAGTTAAACTTGATGGTTATAAGATCAAAATCACATGTCCAGTAAAGGTATTCAAGAAGCTCAAATAAAAAAATAATGAAAAATAAATATCAATGTTTGAATACATGCATAGGAGACAGGTATTTTGTACTTCCTCATATGACCACAAGGGGCACTATGTCGGATTCTGTTTCTTTCCTTTTTTTTTTTTTTTGCCTAGATATTTGTTGTTCCACTTGTTGACAATTCCTGCTCCTGAGTTTATTTTGTAGAATCATATTTTGCATGGCTGTTTGGTTGTATCTTAGACAACATTACTACTCATATCAATATGAAAACATTACCATTATGCCAATAAAATAAAACTTCATAATCATAGTCTCTACGTGTGTTTTTCTAAATAACTCTTCTATTTACATGCATTAACCAAGTAGTATTGTGTTGCACATTTCTCAATGTCATCTTTAAAGCTGCTATGTGTCATTTTATGTTGAAATAATTTTACCTCTACCAGAATAATATGCCGTATATAATAATTACGCTTCTAGACAGATGGCCCATCTCAAAATATACCTTTTTTTCACCAAAGAGTAGTGCTAAGTGCAAAATTAGCTTGGCACTGGTCAGTGGCCACTGTCTGTCTTGAATCAAGAACAATTAATGTCAATTACAGGATGTTGTAAGGTCCTAAAACTAAACGTTTTCAGATGGTTTCAGTGTGCTGACATATCAGCACATACAGACAGAAACATTACAGCTCAGACCAATGAAAAACATCAAGCATTACAGAGGAAGTGGTCATTGAATTCTGCAAGCATCTGTGGTATTTCAGGGCTGTGAAAGTACAAACATGCCCCTTTATCTCCATTATCTGGAGACTAAAAGGCTTCTTGGTTAAAACAGCAAAAAGATCACACACAACAGGATTACTGCTCAAAATTAAGTTATTCTGTGTTGTTTGGCTCTGGATCTTGCTTTCAGGTCAGTTCTCTCCATATTCATGGCTGTCAGTTAACAGTGGGAGGAAATATTTTAGCTTGTGAGGTTCTCCTCTTTTTAAAGAGATAATTCACGCAAAAATTAAAATTGTCTTAATTCGCTGACCCTCATGTTTCTCAAACTGTATAACTTTGTTTTCCCTGCTCAATAAGAGATATTTTGAAAAATGGTTCAATTTTGGGAAAATGGGTTTCAAAACAAGATTAGACCCCACTGACTTTTCATTTTTCAAAATAATTTTTGTGTTAAACAAGAGAGCTGTATACAGGTTTGGGACAACATGAGGGCGAGTAAAAGATAGCTATTTTCATTTTGGGGTGAACTATCATTTCTATTAAGTTGCCAAATTTATGTTTCTTTAACAAAACGTGTTTCTGACGGGACAGTCACTACAGTGGTGCAACATATTAATCTGAATTAAGCCATCAATCAATGTGATGCAGAACTGAAGTGAACTTGAGTGAAATACGGCATTTTTTGCATGATTTCACAAAGAAATGTTTCTCTTTTTTTTTCCATCCAACAGGATTTGGGATTGCAATCACCTGAGAGATTAATGCATGTGGATACAGTGAAAAACACGCCATAATTACATGTTCCCATAAAATGGCATTAAAAAACCTCAAGTATTTCTGCAGAGATCCATGCACATATAAAACTGGTCTTCTGGTCTCATCTGATCAGTCACTTAATGAGAGATACAGACTGGATGATTGGGAAATGGCACCTTCACTGTGAAAATCACTGATCTACAGGAGTCAGACTCTGGCATTTACTGGTGTGGAGTGAAGAGATCCATTAGAGACACATATGATAAAGTCACTCTGACAGTATCTAAAGGTAAGAATGACCGTTTTTCTCCAATGTAGTTCTCTTTTTTTACTTTTCTTTTCTCACACATAGATCCAAATGAAAGCATCACCACATCCACACAACCATACAAAGAAACACAAAAATCCCTGGATTTGCACACAACTACACCAGTAGCACATTCAGGATCTCCATCTACCAATGCAAGCCTAACCTCCAGAGATTCAAGTCCTGATGTCCTCAAACTCTCAAACTCCGTAACAGGTAACAACTTGAGACATCTTTTAAACCATGTCCAGTACACATTTAGCAGCCTTTGGCAAGGCTAAAAAATGAACCAGAATGGCATCTGCCTCCAAAATTGTTTCAGATGCATGCCTCATTTAACTTACTAAAAATCAGGTTGAATCAGGTGCTTTAAGTGGTGAGACATCTAAAACAGTCTGGTAGGTTCTGAGCTGAGAACCACTGATCTAAAACCAGTTGACTAGGTTTTAACCCTGTTCATAGAGTATCCCAGCCCTTCATATTTTAAATGCATTCACCTCATTCGCTGATTAGAAACGGTTCCATGAATTTAACTGTGTCAGCAAAGAAACATCCAAAATTTTGCAATGATGGGTTACTACAAGGTTTGATAACCACTGATTTATATAATTTGATGCCTTCAAGTAGTTTCAAAGCAGACCTTTTTTTTTTTTTACAACAATTTTCTCTCTCACTTCCTCAGTGTCTGCATATACTTCACAATATGCTGCCGGTGGTCTGGTCATAGCAGCGATACTATTTTTAGTTGGATTGGTCACAGTTCATCAGAGCAGAAAGAGAGTCAAGACATCAGAAAGTATTTGCATATGTATTTACACAGACTGCGCTAATATCAAAACTCAATGCCTGATTTGCATTAAAAAATAAGCCAATACTCTTATCTCTTTTCACAATTTTCTTAGGTTGTGCAACAGTAACGCCTGCCAACAGAAACAATACAAGCAAAGTTGAAGAGGTGAGTGATGCCAGTGATTCTGCAAGGCTGACCACAGACAGGAATTAAACATCTCTACATCTGATCTTGTCAAATGTTTAATCTTTACATCATTTTTCAAAAGTCTGGCAGCCATATTAACTATGTGCTTTCATTTTTGCACAGAACAGCACAGAGATGAAACCTACAGACGAGACTGAAGTCAAGAAAAGCCAATCAGTTTCAGTCTATCAGAATCTAAACCTCAGCACGGTCCAATCAAATGAAGTATATAAATCTCTGATTGCTGAATCAATTAATAAGGTTCAGAGTACCAGTCTCTAGACTAACAATCCCAGATCTCAAGTACATTTAATTCAACAACCCTGTAAAATACAAGTTTATTATGCATAGAGAATTAAGTTAAGTAAAAAAAAAAAAGAATCAAGTATTAAGATAAAAATACCATAGCGCCAAGTCATATTAAGGCACTATTTTTTAATTGCATTATGTGTGTTATGCCACTGCTTATTAATGTTAAACTGCTTACCAAGTTAAAAAGTGCATTTAAAAAAAATAAAATAAATAAAAAAAAGTTATGTACCTAATGATATCTCACTTCTTTTCATCACATACACAAATATAAACATGGCAATTTTGTAGTGACCAAAAAAACTTTCTAAACATACATTTAAAAGAAAAGAAAATAAGTTTAACTCAATAATTAGCCCCTGGAATCTTCAGCAAACAACCAGAGAGACTAACACCATGTACATCAACAGCTAACAAAAAACAAAATATAGAGGAAAGTGAAAATGTGAGCACAGGCACATGAGGGAAGCGGGTAATGAATGTTACGTGGCTTTCCAAGCTACTCTTTTGATAGCAGTCTTTTATCATGTAGTTTCTGGCCAAAAAATAAAAAACAGAGTTTGAAACGAATCTCATTTAAGTCGACAGCATTAAAAGTACATTTATACTAAATGACTACAAACTAGAAAACTGGAGACAAAACTTCATAAATGATAATGTGACATGCACTAGTGAATGACAAATTAAAATTCCGACAGCTCTAAAATAACAATATCATAGTTTAATCAATGTGTATTTGGGTAAAGACATGGCTTGGAAGATGGATTTTTCTTTGCGCTCTCTCATTAATAACATTTTGTAATTCTTTGAAATCAATGAGAGTTAGTTTGAAATGTTCTGCTGTAATATGACAACCTAAAAACGCCAGGCAAGGATTTTAATTCCTATGAAGCCTCCTAACAAACCCATTCACAGTAACACTTTACAAAACTATTGCTGTGTGTGCAACACAACATTATTAACAACACTGTTGAAAAACAACGCTCTAGCATTTTGTCATGCTACACCACTATTTGTTGGAAAAAGTAACATTGCTAGAAAAACTACACTATTTGGAGAACAGCTTTTAATATTCCCACTACTTCCAAACCACTGAAATATCATTCTGACTAACGTACAAGCAGCACATGTCTCTCTGAAGGGGTTATGTCACACGGGCCTAGAATCAGACTGCACACCTCAAACCTTGACAGGCAGAAATAACCTGACCCTGTGTGAAAGGGGAAAGTCCGTTCAAACCAAAAGTTAATCAAGAGGAAGTGGTCGGGTTCTGAATATGAGTGTGTGGGTGTCTAGTTTGCATGTGAGAAAGAGAGCACAGGAGGGCATAGGCATACAAGTTTACTACTGCGCTTAATGGCATAACAGAGCTCCAACATTGCCAAAAGTTATTCAATATCAGAGCATAGAAAACGAAAACTGGAATAGACCAGACATAATAGGATCACTATTCAAAATGAAGTTCATCTGTGCTCTCTGGCTTTGGATGTTGCTGTCAGGTAAGTTCTTTATAGATGTTTGATAGAAACTCTCATGTATATGAGAAACTTTCAGGTTGCTGAGCATGATGAAAGCAAAGAAATAAATGAATTGCAAGTTCAAAACAGCATGCAAGTTTTTCCACAGACATCTGCCTTTTAAAGCCCTCATTTTCTTCAGGGTCATATTAAGGCTTTTCACAGATAATTTCAGGTTATCGTGCTATTAGAGTATTAAAGGCTCATTTTTAAACTGGAGTAAAGCAACATTTCACACTGGTAACTTTGAAAGAGGTTTAGGGTTGCCTTTAACTAGCCAGTGGTATGCAGCATGAAATCCTGAATTAAATGCTAAAATGTTACTGCGATTAAGTACTTTTATGTAAAGCACTTTGAATTACCATTGTGTATGAAATGTGCAATATAAATAAATTATATTGCACATTATAAAAATTATAAAAATAAATAAATTTGCCTTGCCTTACTCTGAAAAACATTTGGTGTGGAAACAATTTTCACTCAGAAATTGCTAGTAAATATCACAAACAGCTACAGGTATGATTTATTTGTAACTTTGTGAAACAGCAAGTAACACATTGAATAAAACAACATTTTGAAGTAGAAAAAAATACTATCTAGTAGTAGTAGTAATAAAATACTTTTATTTGTTTTTTTTTAATACATTTGTTTTATTTACTTCAAAATATTTTTTTTTTATTTTTTATTTAACAGACAACCAGTCATGTACAGTACTCATCTCAATTCATGTGCTTTAATGAGTTCAACAAACTTTTACGCACTTGATTTAATTTCAGTGCCTGAAATTGAACAGTGATTAAATGGTAATGCATTTAGTGAAGTGACTGTGGCCAGGTATGGTGACCCATACTCGGAATTTGTGCTCTGCATTTAACCCATCCAAGTGCACACACACACACACACACACCATGAACACACACCCGGAGCAGCATTTAATAGAATGAAGAAAAGACCATATTGTTTGTTTGCTTCTTTTTACTTCAAGTATCAATTTACGATACTTGCAACAAGAATTGGCATGCCAACATTTAATTATTAAAACAAGCTGCATCGCAATCAATGTTATTGACCTAATAAACATGCAAATAATAATGTTAAAAAGATAAAAAATTAATGGGTCCAGGTTAACAATTGTACGTGTTAAAAACCCAAATGAAGCAATGGGTAAAATAATAAAAAAAAAATATATATATATATATATATAACGTCTAGTTGATTTTACAGAAGAACATACAGAGAAATATCATACATATGTGTTAGCCAGACCTCTCTGACCAAATAATTTCTCCACTGATTGAATCTGTCTGTTTACATTTGTGCTATAAATTACACATTTATAGGAAATAAGTACAGTGGTTGTGAAGCATTCACACTTCCTATTGCGAAGTTATCAGACCATAAGTACAGTAAGTGTAACAGTAAGTTACTTTTGCAAATGAATAACTGAAACCGAAGAGTCTTGAAGAGGAACTGACGGTACAAACACAATACTTCCTACTAATTCCCAAGCCCTAACAAACATATTTCATTTAACAGAATTAAATTCAACTACTGGAAACATTTCTAGTCAAGGACACAGTGAAGGAAGCATCACAATTACATGTTCCCACGGCTGGGCTTCAACCAAAATAAAATATTTCTGCAGAGATCCACGTAAAGACAGTAAAGATATTTTAGTCAAATCTGACCAGTCACCTAGAAGAAGATACACACTGAAGGATTCTGGAGAAGGAACCTTCACTGTGAACATCACTGATCTACAGGAGTCAGACTCTGGGATTTACTGGTGTGGAGTGGAGAGATTTGGTTTTGACACATTTACAAAAGTCAAACTGACAGTATCTAAAGGTAAGACTGATGAGCAATATTATGCATTTCATTACACTGCCAGACTATTAATATTATATAGCAATATTGCCTGTGAGACAAAGTAATGAAGGGTTGCAGTTCTACCATATTGTTTCTTATTAAATGGCCAAATAAGAATTGTTATACAGCTATTCTTTAGGCTGACCCCAGAAATACAGACATGTCTGAAATTTTTCTAAAACTTACAAATAGCCAACACTGGAAACATGGAGGAAGTGACTCGTCAGAGGACGATGGAAACACAAACAAATCCTGGGACAAGCGCTGAAATGCACTTGACTATACAAAGACACTCAGTTTTTGTATCTTCAACCACTTCAACCACTTTTGTATCTTCAGTCTTTAACTGAAAAATTTGTTTACTATTGTCATTTTGCATTATTGACACTATTTTCCTAATTAATGCTGTTCAGTTGCTTTGACACAATCTGTATTGTTAAAAGCGCTATATAAATAAAGGTGACTTGACTTGACTTGACTTAAGGACAGCACACTCTCACTGACATCAGCAGGTAGTCAAACCTCTGATTTTAATGCCTGCATTTCTATCGTAAAGGTTAACTGATGTTATGTCCTCCTTTTGAAGGTTTTGTCAAAGCATCTGGTCCAGCTGGCGAAAAAGCAGGCGAGTTACAACTCCTTTATAGATACGCTGACATCTTACATATATTACATGATGCAAATCAAAAACCGTCTGACCTAAATGGTCTCTATATAATATACAGGTGCTGAACACAGAAACTCATCCTCATCTTCCCATATATTCCCAGTGCCTTTATATTATATTCCTTACACTGCTGCTGGTTTGGCCGTCATGGTGATCATATGCGCAGTTGGACTGGTCACTGTTTGTCAGTGCAGAAAGCGAGTCAAGAAATCAAGTGTGTGAACATTTAAATACTACATGCCCCCAAAAAAATACTTTTTTTTTTTTTTTTAAATATAAGAAAAATTTGTTGCGAAGTTTACTTTTTAAAAATCTGTATTCTTTACTTTATTTCAGAATGTGTGATTGCAAGATCTATATACAATTCCCATCACAGCGAGGAGGTGAGTGGAGCACAGGAACATCATTATAAGATCTGAGCTACCACAATCACACAACTTCTGCTTACTTTATATGTCACTTCAACAGTTTATTAGCAACAGAATGACGCTCTCTGTCTTTAATTTAGGCTAATGCTGTTTATCAGAACGCTCCTGATGACAGACCCTACACCACCATAAAGAAATCCAGTACCAAGTCTAAGGACGAGAGCCAATCAGACCCAATCTATCAGAACCTACACTTCAACACTACCCAGGGAGAAACTATCTATGGCAATCTATAGGAAATATACAATCTACTATCCTCAATCTCAAATACATGTTCTGCGTGACAAGCATCAAACAAGTTTGTCTGGAAAATGTGTCCGGACATCAACACCATTTCTGAACAGTATATGGCAAAAATACCTCGGCAAAAATCAAATGTACAGAACAAGATTCAAAAACATGTCACTTGGCAATATAATCACACCATTATTTGAGTAAATCGATATCCCTTTTGCATGTAAAGTTTGCATGTGAAACAACAATGAAGGGTTGAAATACTACTGGGTTGTTTCATATTAAAATGGACAAATGTGTAGGGCTATTAAATTATTTAGCAAATACAACTACTGTTCCTTTAATGAATCCTTAGACTAGCCTGCGGTTAGTGTAAAAAAAACAGAATATGAGTATGTGAAAACCAGGGGCGGTTTCTCCATTAGGGAGATTGGGCGACGCACCACCAAAGCGCGAAAGGGAGGGGTTTTTTTTCTTTCACATTCAACCACAGTGTTATGCTAGCTTTCACTATTTTAGACTGTTTGTTCTGCCTCTAAATAGTCCAATCAGCGTCGAGTCACATTTTGTGTAGTACCGCCCCTTTTTGGGCGATTTCTGTCAGACTGAGAATCGCCCCGAGTGCTCTCATAGACTTCCATGCAAAGATAATTTTTTTTCGAACTGCAGGCACTGCAATGCAATCTCTATGAGTTCCGGGAGGGCTAGCACTAACGTGCTTTCATCATCATGCGTAACCTTAACTTGTGCAAGGATTGGTGGGAACAGTGACATCCAATAATATTTAAAAACTATTTTGAATTTTAACAACAAGAAAAAATGAAAAACTACTTTAATATCTTTATCAAATGTGAAAAAAAACAAAAGCAAACAGAGAGACGGGGACAGCTACGCCAACTCATATTCAGATGTCAGTTGAACTTGATCGACATCATGGCGAACGTTACCTCAGCGCAGATGAATTATATCGTGTCATTGAAAGAAATACCATTCAGTCGTCGTAGCAATAAGGATAAATTGGCAATTAAAGAATTAGGACCACCAAGACCAAATGTAAACATCAAACAAGTATCTACAAAGGGTGGGAAGTCGTATAAACAGGGATTTTCGAGGACGTGGTATGAGCGGAAAAAATGGCTAGCGGGCTGCGAAGTAGCTAACGCTTTATTCTGCTACCCCTGCATTTTGTTCCACCCCGAGAGCATGACGGACATCGCATGGACAACTACAGGTGTAATGTAATATAAGTGAGCAATGTGATGTAAGTAAGCAGTGTAATGTAAGGGAGCAGTGTAACGTTAAGTGAGTAATGTAAGTACGTTAAGCAGTGTAATGTAGGTGAGCAGTGTGAGTAAGTAAGCAGTGTAATGTAAGGGAGCAATGTAATATAAGTGAGTAATGTGATATAAGTGAGCAGTAATACAAATGAGCTGTGTAATATAAGTGAGTAATGTTGTAAATGAGCTGTGTAATATAAGTGAGTTGTGTAAATAGTGATTTATGTGACTTCAGTTATTTCTTATTAAACTGAAATTGAAGTAAAATGTTTTTTTTGGAAAACCACATCCTGGCTTCAGTCTTCATTTGCTGCTGAATTGTGTTAACACACATGTAGAAACATAAGGAGAGCAAGAGATTGATTGTTAGAGTCAGTTTATTTTTAATTAATACTATAGTAGTTCAGCTTCCTTTACATCTTTAACTAGCCGTTAATTTATCAATTGAATGGGTGACAATTGAATTGCCCCCCCTGAGAGAATTGGCAGGAGCCACCACTGGTGAAAACACTGAATATGTTCAGCCACACTAAAAATGAGGTTGGAAAACAGTCTTTGTCAATCAGACTTACCTGCTCAGACAGTTTTAAGTTCTGTGCTCAGTTCACACACCATTTTGAACAACTGACACCAGAGAAACTGATGTGTCTTTGAAATTTCTCTGTAGAGATCTGTTGAGTTTTCTCTAAAACATCCAAATGAACACATGGAAGTGACGAGTTGTCCCACGAGTGCCTGTTTAACCTGTACTTGTATCTCTTACACTTGCCACGTCATGATAATAAAACTGACCAGCCAAAAACATGCTTCTGCCAGAGCTGTTCAATCTAAAGACTCGTGCACTGAATTGAAGCAGTTCCTGAGTTTAAAACAAGACTCCAAATTTGTTTTGTGTGTACATTGTCCACTCACCACTATATTAGTTGCACATTCCTGAGAGTTATCCAGATCTAGATTGGGTGTAGCACATTGTTATTCAACATGACTTCTCAATACATCCTTACTAGGTATAAAGTGATATGACCCGAAATTATTTGTCGAAGGTAAATGTAGGTTAAGTTATGGTTAAGTATTCTTAGTTAGTTACTGTAATGTATGCTAGACTAGGGCTGCACGATAAATCGAAATGGAATCGAGATCGCGATTCGACAGAAGCTGCGATTGTCATGCGTATCTTTCAGTGAAGCACGGTTCTGTGATCAGCAGTAAATCTCCATCCAAAGGCCAGAGGGCGCTCTTGCGCTGAAACTCCAAATACGCCTCGCAGAAGAAACCCAGCAAATGCCTATTGCTGCAGCTGAATAAACAGAAGATTCAACTGCTTTCATTGATTCAACGTGACTACTAAACACACGACTACGCAAAATATACGGTTTATCTGAGTTCTTATTATTATAATTTTCCTTCAAATAAAGTATATTTATAATTCAAGGCCTTTATCACTGCTTAAATACTATGAAATATGTTGCGTGCCTTATTCTGTGTAAGAAGCCACATAATCTCACAGAAGGATTTATTTCAAACACTCGACTGACGTTATGAAGTGAGTTTGGAGTAAAAAATATGTTATTAAATGTGGTATTTTCACATGCTTTCAGATGGAGCAGCATTTACTTCACAGAGCCGTAGTTCACTGAGAAGCTATGCAAACAGCTGTCATTATCG